CAGGATACCCTCTAGGTGATAGTTCTTGATTACTTTTTGATAAATAATTCGTTCTTATTGCGAAATAGGAGCACTATTTATCAATCTGTAATAAACGACGTGAGGAAATTCTGTCTTTTTCAAAGACAAAAATTTTTGATTAGAGTTGCAAAGTACGTTCACACATCAAGTTTTCTTATTTTGAAGTTGCTTTTGTTTGGGAAACTTTTTTATTATTAATTCCCAAAAATGGCGGGAATAATTGAGAAGATTTTCCCTAAAGCAGCTCATAGAAAACCGCGACGCTTTAAACTTGAGAAAAAAAACGGACACAAAACAACAAACAAACGACCAACTTTTACGCGTTAAGCTTGCGCGGCCGCCGATTAAAACTGGAAAATTATTCGGGTTTTTACACCTGCATCAAAAAAAAAGTCCGCCTAACGTTTCGCAAACGCCTGGAAGAAACAATTGTCCACGGCGACCCAAAAACCAGAAAACCCCACCAGTTTCAGCTGAAATTCTGCTTTGCCATCATTTCACTCAACTAAAACTGCTAATGATTGTAATTGAATCGACGCCCTGATTGTGATAATGAATTGGGGCTGTTTGGGTAATTTCACGCTCACGCTAAAACCGATTACAACCCCCGCAAAAATGCAATTTCTCAACAAAAGTATGAATCATCCGCCCACTCACACCGTAGAAAATTTGGAACTTCAAACAGCTTGCTGCGAATTTTCAGACCCTTGAGCGTTAAGAACCTCGAAATTTCCTCGTGAAATCAACACACTGGGTTGTTGGCTGGTCCCGTTCAACAGCCACGATCACTGATGTCCGTTCAAGACATTTTCGAGCAGAAATCACAGAAAACATCCGGCAAAACTCACGACAAACGCACACCAACAAACAAATGAATGCCGGCACGGTTAACCGGATTTACATTAAATAATTATGTACTAACTACTCTCTCGGCAATCCGTTGCGCTGATTCGCTTCAAGGACGAAAGTCGGCTATTTTTAACAGGAAAATTGATGTTTTGATATAAAAATGTTAAATTAATGCGATGCTCTCGCGCCAGTTCCTTACCTTCTTGGCTCGTTTCTTCATCCTGACTTTTTTCCGGCTGGCTTTCGAGCTGTTGGTGCCTTCATCCTTCCCAGCACTTCGGTCCTTGGTGGAGCCTTTGTTGGAATCATTCAAACTGGCATTTTGAGGCTTCAAATTGCCAGTGGGGGCCTTGGGCGTGTGGTCAGGGTTTTCCTGCTCCTTAGCGCTGATTTTTGCTGAATTAGCGCCCCTGGTCTTCTGCAGGTCTTTGCTGCTTGCATTTACTGCGGCAGAGCTTCGGAGCTTTCCAACAACACCCGCGTCCCGTTCCTTGTCTTTGGGAGCCGGCTCTCTATCCTTGGTGTTGCTTCTTGTTTTGGGCAGAGCGGCGTCTCTGAGATTGCTGCTCGATGAGATTCTACTTTTGTTTAATACTGCTTCCTTATCCCGCAATGCCAACGGCTTCTGGTCTTTGGTTCCACTCGCAATGCTGCTGCCGCTGGAAGAAAGCTTTAGCTTTGGAATCGAGCCCTCTTTTAGCGCCATTTGAGTGGCTGGAGCGCGATTTTTAGTCGCTACCGGGCTTTGCTTGGCTTTTTCCGGCTCCTTGCAGCTTTTGGTGGTTGCGCTGTTGACCAACCGCCCTTTAACAGCCGGTGCAGCCTTTCGCCCACCTGGCTGCTTCTTGGCTTCGCTTTTATTATCCGAATCGTTGCTATCGTCGGAGTCGCTCGAGCAATTCGAGCAGCTACTAGTGGAGCTTTTCCTGTCCGACTTCTTCTTGCCCTGGTTCTTATTGGGGCCCAAGCTTCGCTTCGCCGTGTTGACGGGGCTGCTGATGCTCTTCCTAACGGTCGCTATTGTCAGCCGCAAGCCGTTGGTCTGAGTGCTGGTTACCGAAAACTCCGGGCTGGGGGATCGAGACGTTGACTCCTGAGAACTGGAGGAACTGTCGCTGTCTGAGCTGTCGCTATGCGAGCACGATTCCTGCGACGCACTAGCATCCGAGTTCTAAAAAAACCAACATGTTTAACTTGCACAGGCAGCAGTTGCACCAACTTACACTGGAATCCGCTTCGGAATCTTCGCTTTCCGAATCGCTCTCAGCTTCATCTTGCTTTTGGCTGGGCTCAGGCGGCTCAGCGCTAAGCGCTCCGATATCAACAGTGGATGGCAGTTCCGATTCTTCTGGCTCGTCCTCGGGCTGATGGACAACCGACGACCATCCCGTAAACAGTTCAGTTGTGGTGCCATCATTTCCTGCCATTCTGCAATGAAACAAAGAATGGTTTATTTATGTGCGACTTCAATTTGTTAGCGGCTCGCTTATGCAAAGTGGTAGCATATAGTTTATTGCAGGTTTTAACATGTTTAAGCTCCACTTGATTGTGTGGAATAGTGTCCATAGGGTTTTTTCCGGTTATTATTAGAGCTTATGTAACTTTTTGTGCTTTAAAGTCCCAGGGTACAGTTTTTCCGTTCTAAGCGTACTTATTGGCAATTATTCCGCAACTTTGGAACGTAAGCCCGAAATAACAACTTTAACAATAACGCTACAGGAACAAATTATTGGGGTAAATAAAAAGGGCAGTTTTAAGGCAATTTTCGCAAGTATCCTCAGGCGTTTGTTCACTGAATGATCTATTTTAATTACAACAAATCCATTTAAGTACGTGAAAACAAACATAACAAACAACAACTGTCGGTGCATTTTTTAAGTTTGTTCTTCACCCAGCGTATTGGTAAACATTCCTTAACTTAGCCAAAGAATATTCAGTTCAAGAAAAATTTAAAAAAGTGGTGATAACTGCGCCTAATTGGGATTTAACAAAGTTTCAATACAACAGTAAGCACATTTGTCCAGGAGGGTAGAAAAGACCCCCAGGAGCCCTATTAAAGTGTACTGGGCATAAAACGTCGCGCAGAAAACCCAAACATCAACAAACCAATTTAAATTTGGCGCTGAAAACAGCAATAATGATATCGCCATATTGTAATTTATTTCTTTGAAGATTGTTCGATTTTGGGGCCGATTCCCATCAGGTTTTGCATATTCTGGGAAATAGATTCAAGTGCACTGACCTGCTATGGTAAAACTAGCATATTTACACTAAAACAAACGCGGTAAACTAAACACAAACACCGAAAAGAAGTCTATTTCCATCGCTATGTCAATTCTGTAAACAAAATGGCTCCCAGCTGATGGAGCACCACATTTTCCGCATTTTCACCGGGATCACTTCAGTTAACCGGCTCGCAATTGGCACCAGACATTCCTCAAATAGTGCGAAATTTAGCGGAAAAACCGGTACTCAAATAAAGCTAAGCGTTATATTTATTTTGATGAAATTGAGAGGCGACAGTTGCGCAACGCCACCAACGTGAAACTAGATCGCTGCCGCTGTTGCCAGATTCCATCAGCAATTAACGGTAAATGGTTTTTTGGCAATTTTCCATGTTCAATGGAGAAAATCCCATCAGGGTCCATGGAAACAATGCACGGGACTGCAACCCTTTCAACTCGCCAATCGAAAAATGTTCTAAACTCAATTTTTCGGGGTAGCGACCGATTACAGGGCTCTGTACAAGGTGGCGCTGACTCTGGCTCAGGCGCCCACATTTATTTTCCTTCAGTATTTTATGGCGAATAACGGATTTAGCACAGGGACGTATTTGGAAAATTTTATGTAAAGCGTAAAACCACAGAACCGTAATTAGTTGTTTTAGATTACATTTTTTCAGTGCAAACAAAAAAAATCATTGAAAATGATTCCCGCGATTGATTTCGACTGGATAGAACTACGTTTTTATTATACAGAGTGTTCTGTAAGCAAAAGATCAAATGTCGACATTTTGGAGCTCTTTGTAAAAGTTCGTGTTATTCACAGTTTTTGCAAAAAAAATATTTCTGCTCTCTTTGTCGCAAACAGTAAATACCGGGAAATTGATTTCAAAGTGAACAGGAAGGCATCAAGCCTACACTCTTGTACACAAGGAAGAAAAGCAAATAATGTCGTTAACTGGAACCCCAGGGAATCGCTGGAATATCCGAAGTTTTTTAACAAGGTCGACCGGTCAATCGGGCTTTGAAATATTACTGGTTTCCTCGCAGCCTTTTATTTCAATCATGGAGCAGGGAATTCACGGCGTTTCGTATTTCTCGTTCGATTTATCCCGCATTGTCCATTTGGCAAGTTCCTGGATCAGATTGATCGTAGTGGTGGCTTGATTTGTTCCGATCTAGTCCCAGACTTTTGTACTGCGTGTAAAATGACATTCGAATCTGAAAACTGGATGGCTGGAAAAAAGTCTACAGGTAGTAAATTCGCTGGCCCGACAAGCGAAAATTGATGATTTCTGGAAAGTTTATGCATTTTTTTAATGGCTGCAGACCAATAAATCGTTCTGGAAAAGCGTGATGCTGCAATGGCAAGATAGGGCTAATTTGATTATTCAAATGTGTCGGAGGAAATGGAAAAATTTTCATTCGAATTAAAGGAAATTAAACCGAATTGGGTTCAGATAGGGCATCTTGATGGCAATTCGGCGGTGGAACTGTGACTATTTGCCTTAATGGTCGATGTTATCAAAATCCAGAGCGGGCATTTATTTGCCTACCGAATGATTAAATTTGCGCGACTTTTAACTCGACAAATATCTGTATAAGTTCGGAAACTTGCCACTCTAATTGATCCCGGCATCTAATCGAGACAAGTTTGCAATTACCCGGAGACCCCTGTAAATTGCTTATCGCTCCTCGTTGAATCCAGAAACGCTCCGGCTTATTTCCAGAAGTAGATTTTGGATTTAATTCCCGCAGAGTTTATGAGAGACACTGTGACGCAAAATTATCAATATGGTGACAACTGGATTCACGGATTAGAAACAAGTAAATCCCCCCGGTTGTTTGCCTGCCTGCTATTGAGATCCAAAATTCTCAAGCGTCGTTCCGGACCTTTGTCTTACCTGGATTAAATTAAGACCCTAAAAGCCGTATATTTTCCTGGAACGTTAAAATTGTGCGGTTACCATGTCTTGGCATGTCAAGCACGTTCAAGTCCATTTATAACCGGGACTCACCATATATAAAAGCTGACCTCTTAACGAAGCTGCAGCTCAGCGCTCAGTTTCGAATGTCAGCCCGAGTATGGCTCGGCTGCACTTTTGGATCGTACGGCATAAATTGTTCTCGAGTGGCGCAAATGTGGATCCAGACCGCAAAGATGTTGCGACATCGCCGACCTCCGCATCCAGAAATTCAATGAGATATTTGCGCTTTGCTGTTCACCAAGACTTTAACGTGTTGTTGAACTTGCTTAACAGTACTTTTCTAGTTAAAGTAAGCGAAAGTTAGGCTGCTAGAGGATAGACCTGGAAGGTTTTCCGTTAAAGGCGGTTTGGGTTAGTTTGGTTAAATTGGTTTTGTGCCCTCCATCAAAATACGTTTAAGTAGCTGCTCATGAATGTTGCAAGTCCACAGTGCAGCTGCTTGCAGGAATTATTCACTCTGTTGAGGGTTTAAGATTTATCCATTCGGAAAGCGACTGTTTTGAAAGCGGACTTTGGTGAATTTTTTATATCTGCTTACTTTTGGGATTTACAAATATGAAAATATTCGAAAGTCGATTAAATATGAACAAAGAAGGAGTATGTTTCCAGAATGAAAACACGAAGAATGTGAACAGTGAAGTCTAAAATGCCAGAAGCTTCTTGAGCCTACAGAGCTCTTAGCGTTTTGAGCACAAAACTAGCTCAGTTTTTAACAGATTTTAAATCTGCAAAAGAGGCATGAACAGGTATTTTTGCCTTTAAAATGATCACAAAATATGCTCAAAATTACCTAGATCTCAGGCAATTTCTTAAGGGTTAATCAGGAATGTTGATCGCTCAGTTTCCGGTCTAAAATTTTACATTATTTTCATCTCACGAACGCGAGGAATGCATCGAACTCATTGAAAAACATGCTAAAATTTCAGATCCGAAATAATAGACATTTTCGGCACATTTTCAGCGTTTTTTGAGCGTTCACGATCCTTATCCGACGATTTCTTCCTTATTATTGACCCAAACATATAAATGCACATTTGTGACCTTCTTGCGTCGAAAGGAATCGATTGATCTCAAAAAACGCGCTTGTGAAATTTTGATTTTTGGTTGAAATTTGTCCAAGGGTGGAGGTCGATTTTTTGAAAAAATTGAAATGTCCTCAAAATGTCTTAAATTTTACATCATTTTCAGCTCACCGACGCGACGAATGCATCGAACTCATTGAAAAGCTTGGTAGAAGTTTTAGATCCGAAATAATAGACCTTTTCGGCAAATGTTAAGCGTTTTTTGAGCGTTCACGATCTTTAGCCGACGATTTTTTCCTTATTATTGACCCAAATCACTTTATAAATGCACATTTCTGACCTCCTTACATCGAAACGAATCGATTGAGCTCAAAAAACACGCATGTAAAATTTCGATTTTTGGCCGAAATTTTTCCAAGGCTGGTCGATTTTTTGAAAAAATTAAAATGTCCTTAAAATGTCTTAAATTTTACATCATTTTCATCGCACGGACGCGAGGAATGCATCTAACTCATTGAAAAACATGCTAAAAGTTTCAGATCAGAAATAAAAGACATTTTC